GAGGATTTCGATCGAATTTTAGCGCTCAATTTTGATCACATCTCACAAAAGCTTTCGTTCAATAAATCCCAATTCTATACGTAAAGAATAGTTCAACCGTTTTGTCGAAGTATTTGCTTATTTAATGTCGAAGTATTTGCTTAATTAATGTCAAGAGCCCAAGGTTAAGGCTTCGCGGATATTGCTGCGGTATTCATGTTCGACGAATCCCAACTGTTGAACAACGCCAAAAACATCAAGAACAAGTGAAGGAAAGACCCGAAGGAAGATGTTCGTATCAAGATTTTCCCGCGCATGCGACAATCTGTCTTGCCTGTGGGAGTACGCATTGCGGATGAATCTTAGCAGATCGATCACTCTATCAGTGCGATATTTCTTCTGTGTCCACGCCCTTGTCATCTCATCATACAGCTCTTGTATATCCTTATCCCAAGGTACTCTCCGTGCGGTGCTAGTCGCTTGCAAGTGTTGCTCTAAGTCGGAATTAATGTGTTTTGACGGATACTCTGCCTCACGTTGATCGCCAACTGCTTTTAGAAATTCAATCTTTTTTTTCTCCGTCCATAAAAATGGATGCTGTTTAAGATAGATCGCTGGTGGCCGCTTTGAAGAATCCTGCTTCAAAAGATTCTGAAAAAAACTAGTGGCTTCTGGGTGCAACGTTGAGTCGAGGCTGATTTTCATATCTACGATCCTCTGCTCAATAACGTGAAATGGTTCGTCATTTCTGGTTGAAAAGGGATGTTTTCCCAGGGTAAGAAGGTATGAAGTACCAGGCCCAAGGAAAATATATCAGACTGTTTTGTATGCTCTCTTGATCTCATACTGACCAGCTCTGGCGCCATCCAACATCGTGTACCAGGTGCTATGAAAACACCACTCCCTCCCGTTGACGTCATTGTGCAAGAAGTGGACAAATTCTTTGCCAACCCGAAGTCGGTAATCTTGAAATGCAATTTTGGATCAGTCGTGTACAAGATGTTTCCTGGTTTAACATCACGATGAATAAAATTTTTCTCGTGAATGTAAGACAAACCATCGATGATCCCTTCAACGATGTGGCCATGAGTCGATGGATCCTGCTTGATAACTGTGTTAACAGTGCAGTTGTCGAGAAACGCATTAAGATCACCGTCCATCAGCTCGAGGAAAAGATACTGAAAGTGAGAATCTTCAACAGCTTCATGAAATTTGACGATGTTCTCACACTCGCCAGATATTTTTAGCAAGGTCGTGATTTCTCGTTTAATTTCTTGGGGATTTATTTTGGTCTTATCGAGTCGTTTCAACGCGTACGCACGACATTCGATAACTCCAGAACTGCTGTCGATACTCTCGTCTTTAATCGCGAGAAAGACTGAACTAATTGCCCCACTGCCAATCGGAACTTGGTTGAAATAACGATACTTCTCTACTATTCTGACTTCAAGTGATGGTATAGTTAAACGTTTTGCCAGCTCAATGTGACACTTCGAACACGATCGTATCTTTCGGATTCCGTAATTAGGATGTAAATTTGACATACCTTGGGGTAAGCTGGTGTGGGGGGTGAGTTGATTTGAAACAGTCATGGAGGAAGTGCTTTTCCCCGCAATGGCTCCGCATTCGATGAGCATGTGGGCACATATCTCATAAACGTTCGGTCTTTCGTCGAAGTGCTCTCTTGTGATATCCAGAGGGGTAAGTCCCTTCTGATCCACTTCATTAACATCTGCTTGATGGTCCAATAGAATTTGGGCACTCTTTAAAATAAATACTCCCTCAGTGATCTCGTGTTTCTTGCCACATTCCACGTCGAGTAGAACGTGAAGAAGACCTTGACCTTTCTTGTTTTTTCGTTTCATATCACTCGTTGTTGCATTGCGTAGCATTTCACGTAGTAATTCCACGAAAGATGTTTGCAGTTCAGTAATGAACCCATTAAACCTTGTTTGTCTTATGGTAGTCAGGACTACATGAATGGCGGTGTCCCCCTGGATGTCAGGAATCCAAACGGTTTCAATCGCCTTCTCGTTTTCTGAAATTATTCTATTAAGACTCTTCAGTAGCTCTATAGCTTCTTTAGTGTACGCAGGACTAGCTGGGGTGGCAAAACCGTGAACTAAAGTCAGATGATACGCGAGTTTGACAGATTTCTTCAGGATGAACAAAAACGGTGTTTCATTGCGTCGATTTTTCGCGTGAAAATCTGCGCCATTCTGAACGAGAGTCTTGAACAAAGAGGAGTTATAAGCGTAATGGAGAGGCTCCTCACCAAAGATATTTTGAACTCTGTAAATTGCACCAAACTGTAGCAACTTTTCATATAGTTTTTTATCGAAGAATTCTTGTTGGACCATTATTGACATCGCGTATTCATGCAAAACTGTGTTGCCTTTGCTGTCTTGAGAGTTTGCTAACGAAGCAGTTGTTGAAAAACCGATTAAGGCGGGATAAGAAAATGGGGGAAAGGAAAAATAGGGATTACTATGAAAATAGGGAAGTACAAGGTTGGATGTTTCTTTAGGCAGTTGATTGGAAAGCAGTTTCAAAAGTTTACCTCTATCCTCAACGAACCATTCTGTCTTAGCAACGCGTTCATTCGTAAAACGCATTGCACCCGAGTCGCATACTGCTTTAAACCGACCAAATATGATGTGTAGAAATGTTTTCCCGTCGTTATTCCTCGCAAGTGGATCAACATTAGCCTGTAATAAATATTTCACTAAGGTGCCACAGGCTTTGCCGACACCAGGCAAAGCGGCGATGTAGTGCAGTGGAGTGTTGCCGTGTTCGTCTCTGCAGTTCCTCAAATCGGCGAAATTATTCTTCATTATTTCACAGCATCTAATCAAAATCATCTCTCGATATTGTGCAACGGTACCTTCGTCAAAAACTGTGCGATTAAATAATTTGTAAATATTCTCTTCTTCATCATCATCATTTTCACTTTCTTCATCGCTGCTGTTGTTCTCATCTATAATAGATATTCGGGTCTTACCTTCTACACCTGGGATCCCCTTTATGAAATGAAACCATCCGTTGCCGGTTATATGACCCAGACCAAAGAAATCCATGGGTTGATAGCCAGTCTTTTGTTTGAATCTCTTGCTTAAGTCGAAAAGGTTGATTCCATTTTTATTGTAGACGATATTATAAAGCAGTTCTTCGGTTACTTCTCTTAAAAATAACTTGATGGAATCCATCGCATTTGCTATTGAATAGAGTTACAAAAATATACGAAGCAACATTTCGTTTAACATTGCTACAAAGCAAATTATGAAATATTTGTAACCAACGTGTTAGATTGCTTCAACTCAGTGTCAACTGCTGTTATGAACGGGATATATATGTTTTGAACGTCTATTTTGAAATGCACCCAACAACGTTTTATTTTAAATATTTTATGAAAACTGCTCGATGTCTATAGCTACATTAATTAAACAACAGCGATCCACCAGTCTGTATGGAAAAACAACGTTTATTAAAATATCAAACTTTCAACTAATTGAATTGAAGACTAGCTACTGTAAAAGCTACTGTACGTTTCGTATACTTTCGAAGAGCAAAGTTTGAAGAAGAACGAAAACGTTTGCGTTGTCGAATTGCCTTGTTCGTTCAATGTAATTATCTAATCATTTCTTTATAAATAGTGAATATCTCGCACCCCGAACCCTGAAAGCCTTTACTGCATGTGAAGGCTCGATCCAAGCGCAATGTGATCCGGATAGTTGGAGATTACGATGCAAATTCGTGCTTTCAACAGCCTGCGTCTACTTTGCAGAATGTAAGACACCTGTTGGTTTATCCATCAATCTCGAAAATTGCGACTTTGCTCACAACTGGAATTCAGTGATGTGTTGCACTCCCTATTGCCCCTAATCAGTCAAAACAACAAACAAGATTGTTGAGATGCACTTAGTAATTGTTAAGTTTTAGTAAAATCATGATATTTTATATGCAGACATGTTTTTATGGAATGGCAATAACACATAATGGAAATCACTCTTGGTTATATAAAAATGTTATCATTGAAATTGTGTAATAAAGGTGCATGATACAAAATTTGATACGCTTAGCTATATCTTTTTTTACGGGGACGACCGCGTTCTCTCCCAAATTTCCTTTTTCTTTGCGGACGTATAATTCGCGATTGATTATATTCTAATGAATGGGTCTTTAATGTTAATAAATTAATTTTCGTGAACTGCAATTAATGTAAAAATAAAGAATTCGTGAATGGTACTTTATGCATTCGAACGGTATGGCTGGGGGTGCCGACGATTGAGAATTGTACCCAGCGACCGTCCAGTCAGCCACACTGACCAGTTCACCCCATGCAGTGAACTCAAATAAAACTGGAGCGATAACTTCAAAATAAAGTCCAGTAATTGGATGAAGTGTATTTGAATACAATCTGCTGATTATATGTCGGGAGCCGCGCAACAACAAAAACGAATTTACTTTTTCTAGATAGATCTAAGCAGAAGACCCTGGGAACGAGGTTGTTCGTATTGGAGGCTCGTCCAATTTTGGCAACATTCTCAAACTTCACTCGTATTCACCAGAATTGTACTCGCTATCGCATCACCTATGCTAATGCTTCTTCTGTGTTATTGTAGGTGTATAATCAGTTAAATACCGTCCTAATACAGCTTATTAGGCCATATTTGTACCGAACAAGTTTAATGATCATTCTGAAAAACTTAAAATAATTTTCTTTTGAGCCTGTATGTACTGTATTTTCGTAAAGATAACTTATCTCAATATTCACAATACTTTTATTCTTCCACACGATAAACAAACATTTGAGCAGTGACTACGAGTACTCAAGATTACTCTTCTTAGCGGAAATTCGGTGGCTTTACCTTCGCCCTGGTTTAACTGGTCGTACGTCCTCTCTACCGGTTCCGCCTACGACAGGATAACTATGGCTTAATAGGGTATCAAGGTAATATTGGGGGTGACCTAAGGGACACCGCTTGCTTTTTGTCTAGCGCATTACAATTGTAATAGTTTTGAAGAATCAAGTTATATTTTCCTTTCTTTGAAAACAAGCAAGGATTTTGCGGTATAATTTAAACATTAGCGCGGAACAGAAAGTGTTGTTGTTTGCTATAGTTTAAGAATGGAAATAAATTCATCAAACGGGATGTTTATGCATTTTTATTAAGTATGTTCATGCAGTCTTTCTGGGTCGCAAGGCCTAAGCTCTATAAATGCAGTCTCAGTTTGAAGGGACGTTGAACGTGAAAAGAGGAAGAAAGAAAAAGATGAATCGGGAAGATCACGAAACAAAATTAAACGTGAGTTCGCCTCATCAGGAGATTACACAAAGCATTAATATGACTAACCAGTCCATTTCACCAGAACATAATTGAAATCAACTCGGTTAACCTTTATAGGTAGCTCCTAAACTCCATGTTGTCTTGTTATCGTGTTTGCTCGGTATGATATGTGCAAATTTGTAAACGATCAAAGTTTGGCCAAGCTTCAAGATTGTTTGCGGAATTGAACATATGATACTGAATACAAAATATTTATACTAATTATAAAATATCATAGAGTTGACTGCAGACGAGCCTGACTGAAAAGTGTGCAAATGGCATGCTTTGGATTGCAAAATAATACTAGTAAATAAATAGAAGGTGCACCCAATATCTCGGTTGCACTATACATACTTTCCACACTGGCAGAGGAGCTTAGGTTGACTTCAAATCATGAATTAACTTTCGATTTGACCCTGACTGGAAAGTACATGTATGCAAACTGTGCAACCTAGATTTCAAAGAATTACTAGTAAATATATAGGAAACATCAAATTGCACGCCTGACATCTAGGTTGCGCTGTACAAACTTCCCACACTAGGATTTGACTGTGGAACAAAAATTACTTTCTCAAGTGGTATTTTGATGTTGATTTTCTGACTATCGCAAAAGCAGGGGAGGTAGGTATTGCATTTGCCTTGCATGTTGTTGCTGGAGTTCATTATGGCCAACCATTTTGCCTTGTTTTAATTAATACCAGAATTATTATTATTAGGGCTATAGTCACTACAATACAATATATATAATATTGTAATTGTACTGTTACAATATCTCTCTGAGTCATGGGTTTTCTAGACATTTAGTGTTCAATCATGTCTCACCAGAATATGGCTTGGCCTAACATACTGAACTCTGGTTGTTACCAGTGAATAAAAAGTCCAGTTTATTTCCAGAATGAGGTGATTTGCCTCAAATTATTTGGTCTGAAAAATTAATGTACAGTATACTGTGTTTGTAGGAGATAGAGGCGTTTATGGAGGTTGATAATGTTGTGGGCAACACAACTGAACAAAACCTAGTGGATGTTGACACAGCTAATCTTAGCAAAGACACAATTACATCTGGTGAACAACTGGAGCAGAATGATGCAATATTAGACACAATTAACATGATTGTCAGAGATATTGATGAAGTGACAGATAATATTGACAACACTGTGATGCAAACCCTTGGCTGCAGTGGCGATCCAATCGACATTCAACTAGCGGCTGACTTTGAAGATCTACCTGTGGGTTCATTATGTGATATTTCAATGAATACTTTGTCTGATGTGGATATGGTCCCAGGTTTTGGTGATAAATATACAGTAGATACTGCTGGTGATATTCCTCAAAATGAAAGCCAGACAGTAACCAGGGATGCCAGTATAAATGATGCAATTATGAATGATGCTATTATGAATGATGCCAGTATAAACGATGCCAGTATAAACGATGCCAGTATAAACAATGCCAGTATAAACGATGCAAGTATAAATGATGCCAGTATAAACAATGCCAGTATAAACAATGCCAGTATAAACGATGCAAGTATAAATGATGCCAGTATAAACGATGCCAGTATAAATGATGCAAGTATAAACGATGCCAGTATAAATGATGCCAGTATAAATGATGCCAGTATAAATGATGCCAGTATAAGCGATAGTATTGCAAAACGTAAAAGAGGACGACCAAAAATGAGCAAAGATGGTAATTAAATGTGACTTAATTATATTGTTTAGTAATTATACTACCAAATCTTAGCAAGGTGTCACACTATGTATTCATGACATGCTAGAGTTTTAGATTTTTGTCTGTCCGTCCGTCCGTCTGTCTGTCTGTCTGTCCAGAATAAAAAGCATTATGTTATTTGTCAAGAATAAAAAGCATTATGTTATTTGTAATGGCTATTTCCTTTGTCAGTGATTATCAATGATGCATCACACAAAGAGGTCACACTCCTAAATGAACTGCATTAAAAGATCACACCATTTTTTTTTAACAGCAGCAGATGTAAAGAGACTAAAAAATGAAGAGCTGGTGAAACTTTTACCAGAGGAGGGAGGGACTGTGTTATCAAAGGTATTATGGTTCAATCATATGATAATTTTTTAAACATATACCATCCTTCATCCTGTAGGCTGTGGAACCATTCGGAAAATGGGATGGGACACTAAGAAAAAGGGCACTTTCTCATATAGTAATAATTACATATATTTAATGGTTTCTGTGTTTGGGATCCAAAAACGCCGAATGTTGCAATATCACCTTTGGCTCGTGTTTCGCGCGCTTTTCTAAATTTTCTTAACTCAAGCAACGTTCCCAAGTGTTTCGATAATGCCATCGAAACACAGGAAACCATTAAGCAATTAAATTTTCGTGTTTGGATGGCCTGAAGGGGGGGGAGCAATCGAGGGGGGGGGGGGCAATCATGTCGAACTACGATTGAATGAAACCCGGCTGGCTAACCTAAGTATTATTTTGTTGGTTTCATAGGAAGCGTCTAAAACATTTCGCGAAATTCTTAAACGTAAGAAAAGACTTCATTGTCCGAGAGAGGGATGTGGAAAAAAATACACGTGTTTCAAGGGTTTTGAATACCACGTTGTGAGATGCGGGATTTCTGTCACACTCGTTGCACCTACTAACTTCATTTGCGATCATTGTGGGAAGGTTTATCACAGCGCTCCAGGACTGTCCTATCATAAACGGACAGCACATGACAATATTAAGGTAGGATTTTTATAAAGTCTGACAGCACGTGAGAAGATTAGGAGGGTACAGTAGGATTTTCATCGATTCTGATGACAATACTAAGGTAGAATTTTCCTCAAGCCTTACCATAAGCAGTCCAGACGTTTTTCTTCTCGTGGCGCTCGCGCATTTACGCGAGTCTACTCGGTCTATTTTTATGTCATAATAAAAAATAATAGACTGAGTAGACCACGAGAACGAAAACATTTCTGGGCTGCTTATTGTCTTAGCACGTGACAAAAATTACGGTAGGATTTTAATCAAATCTCACAGCACGTGACAAAATTCGGGTAGGATTTTCATCAAGCCTTAGAGCACGTGAAAAAAATTAGGGTAGGTAGTTAAAATAATGACTGTCGGTCAACGGGTTTTCGATGTTACTAGAAATTCTCGGACGAGTTTACACGATGCAATTTTCCATGCAACTTGCAGTACAATTCTATTCTTAAGAGATGTAGATTAGTGAAGAGTATTCGAAATATTGGTGTAAGGAAATCATCCGTGGAGTGCAGCATAAGCAGAAAAGTTGTGTAGTGAAGTAAATTTGCACTGCAATTGCCTACAGGGTTAACATTGGCGATGTTTTAACAGGAAACCCAAGAAACTACTGAAACGGAGATTGGTCTAGCTAAATCAAAATATACGCTACGACAGCGCGATGAAACTGAGAGGTGAGTGAACGTTTGTTGTGCAGCCTCGTACCCAACCTCTTACCCAGGGTTTTTCTCGTGCCGAGAATTTTTTCGTATCCAGGTGCGTTTTTGCATTCAGCTAATATATAGAGATCGGTGGCTAAGAAGAGCGCGCGGAGCTTCTGGGGGTGGTTTGGGGTGCTTGGGGTGGTTTCGTTCTGTCGTCGTGTCTACCCCAAACACGCGAACATCACATACGGCTCATTAGCCTTAATATTTCTGCGCGTAATATAGGAACCAATCAAAATGCTCCATCTATTTCGGTTGGATGGTCGACGAAGTCGAGGATTAAATGTAAGCAAATGACTGCACGGGGCACTTAAATTTAAAACAAAACGATGTCTTACGCAAAATGAAGTATCTAATGTTTTTTTCCCGAAATAATTTCAACCAAATTTTTCGCTTTTGTTGATGTTTTTCGGTGCAACTTGTTCTCCTCGTTATCTCGCCGAAAAACTGCTTTTGTGATTTTCACGTGATATTCCGATGTCTTAGCAATTAATGATCCTATTTTTCTTTTCGATCATCAACTTTGTAGTTGTGCTTTAGCAATGACTACGAGTACAAGATTCGTCAGATGGCGTAGGCAAAAGCACCGAATTTGGCGCGAAAATGACGAATCTTGTACTCGTAGTCATACTTATTGTCGTCACTGCTAAAGCTCCCTATTGTCATCACCTTGCAGTAAAAGCTACGTCGAAAAACCAGTGGAAAATGATTCAGATTCCTCGTTTGACGGATCCGAGCGACCATCAGTGACCATGCGGGGAACGGGTTGGATGAAATACGCTGAGAAGCTGGAGGATGAACCCGCTGATGAACCTGAGGAAATGAAGACGGAACTCACCAACATGACTGCGATGACAGAAGCTTTGAGACATAAAAAAATGCTGAAATGTTCCAAGGATGTGAGTTTCGTTCCACCTTGGTTCCTAGGTAGTCCAGTAGTGTGTGTGTCCAGTTTTGTATATTGCGGTCAGTGACGTACGGTCGCAACACTTCACTTCAACTTGATTGTACGTGCGTCACTGACCGCGATATATGTAACTAGACACACAGAAAGGAAAATGCGGCAAATGTTGAACAGGAAGATCTTTACTAGGTTATGATTAATCAATATGAGATATGATTAAAACGATGATATGAGATATGTTTTTTTCTATCTTTTGTAGTGTGGTCGTTATTTCAAAACTGCTTCAGCAACTTACCAGCACGTTAAAAATTGTAAGGGCAAAGAAAAACATCGTTGTAAATTGTGTGGCAGAATATTTTTGAGCAGAAGTGGATTAAGAACGCACATTATCACTTTACATCGAAGGGTGAGTTTAATGACAGTTTTATAAATAAGGGCTCTTTGAATTTTTTGAACGAAATTCCCTTTGGAAACTTTTACCAACGGACAATTTGAATAAAATTTTGGCAGGGGATTTACAAACTTTTACCAGGGGACAATTTGATAAAATATATTAGAAAAAACAAGCTCCGAAAAACAGCATCTTGTGAACTTAAGTTATGAATTAAATTGTATTTCAACTTGCAGAGAAATGGTTTGTTAGCGAAATATTTGCGCATTTTATTTTCAATTTAAGTAGCATAAATTATTATATGGCTTTTCAAAATCCTCTATTCTGATTGGTTGACGAGCGGTCCGTAAAATGCGGATCTGTATCAGTAACTGGACCAGTATCCCGGATGTCTCATGCAGTTCAGCCATATAGTAAACCGATTATTGATCTCGCTTGTTATCTCTGTACTGTGAAATATCAGACCGAGGCTTTTTAGATACTGATCAGTTATTAAAATTCTTAATTCAACTTGAATGCTCTCAATCCAAAAGCAAATATGCAAACCGTTTCTCTGCAAGTGAAAACCCCGCCTTATAAAAAACAAGACAACAATTTTGCGTTGATGTTTCAACGTTTTGTCAAACGTATTATAGTTATATGATTTTTAAACCGGTTATAATAACATTTACAAGCTTGCTATTATGATATGTTCCAATAATTTATCATCTCTTATCAATGCTGACAGAATGTATTTATGTACAGAAGGATACTCCCCCCGTCGGATGTGCGGATGCACCCCCCTGTCAGAGAATGTTTCACTAATGCTATCTTCTTCAATTCCCATATTCAGAAAGAACACAATAGTGACGATGGAGAAGAAAGCGAATTCTCTGAAAGCGAGGAGAAAACTGTACCCTTGAAAAGGCGATTTCCTGGAAAAAAGTTCGATTTTAAGGAGAGTACCAAAACCTGGTAAATAAAAGTTACAAACAAGGAGGAATTTCGTTTTTGACCTATCAGCAAATTTGATAACATTTTCAGTAACCCAACAGAATGCATAAATTTTGACTACTCGTTGACTACCGGTAAAAAGGTACATTATTCACCATTTTACATGAATTATGACAGCTTTAGCCATTCTGATTGGCTTTGCTTGAAAAATGTAAACAAATTTGCCTATTAGTTTAAAACGAAGTTCCTCGCATTTTTTGTCAAATTCACGCTGATTGGTTTGACAATAACAACAAACCTTTCCCCTTGTTGCTTTCAAGCGGGCAATGCGTGACGATAGTTGATCATCAAGGTCAATTTTTTTAACAAAGAAGCAGAAAGAATCGGCCAGGTTTTCTTACAAACAAAATCGCTTCTAAGCAGAGCGATATCGCAACTGAAAGTTACCTGATAATCAACTACCTTGATTATATCGAAATATCACCAAATTCACTGAGTATCTTTGGAAAGAAAACAACCCTATCATTTTTTTTAACGGGAAACTTTTTCCAAGCGTTCCTTTAAAGATATCCATAGTCAAAACGTTAAACCTTCTAAAATTGTTTCACAGACTCAAATTCGCAAAAAAACTGTTTTTAAGGTCGATATGCTGTAAACATTTTCACTATGGTGAACACAGTTAGTTATAGAGAGAAATGCCATAGTTGAGGTGACTTCTTTTAAACCATTCTCACTGTTGTTTTTTTGTAGGTACAAAGAGTTTCTTTCAGAAGCATCGTTTACATGCTGGAGGCCCAGTCTTAAACACTGGAATCGTCTCTCTGCAAGGTAATGTTCTTAGGATAGAAGAATAGACCACTTGCATAATAGACCGACTTATGATCTGGGTAACAAGAAGAAAATAAATCACCACAGCTAAAAAGAGCATACCAAAATTAGTATATAATTGCCACGCTTGGTTGCAAAATGTCAAGTATTACGGAAAATATAGCCATGCGAAATTGGCCATTTTTGTATACTTTTGTAGTACGAGCGGAAGTGTGTAACTAATTTAGTTTAGTCGTTAAGAATATAGCGGTGAAACTGCATTTTTCATGCTAGGCAGATGTAAATAACGATATTCTTGAATGCAGAATTAAAACACCAGTGATCTGTTTGAAATGAAATACAACCGGATCGGTCTGGTCGTTTTACCGTATAGAGGGAAGTGCCCTTTGTATAGGTTCATTGCTAACGTAAGTTTCTTTGAAAATTATAGTGAGGCACAAAGCTATTTGCCTGTTAGAAAAATGTCTCCCGTCTTCAGGATTGAGGCGGTAAAAGGAAAAGGTTCGACTCCCGAGCTCGAGAAAGAGTATCAGTTGCCGCTGTTTACTTCGGCGCCGGTCAATTCAGGTTGTTCATTTGCATCATAATAGTTGTAGTAAGATTGTATTTCATTGTCACCGGGAACACGAGAGAATTTCGCCCCCCCCCCCCCCTGGGTGCATTGAAAGGACAAGTAGAAATATAACAGGGTCTCTCTCGTGCATCACAATTTCCGGATGTGAATGCAGGGGTTATTCAACTGTACTTGTTTTATCGACTAGAAGATGTCAAATTTTTAAGTAAACAAATTAAAGTAAAAAGTTAAGATTAAAGTAAACAAACATCTTGCAACGGAGTCGCGATGGGATGAGCTGTATTAAGCTCAGTTCTTATGCCTAATTTTTGTACAATTCTTAACATCATGTGTAATTTCTTTCACAGCCGCAAATTTACTTAACATTACCTTTAATGTCGGTGGCTCGGTTTGGGCTATGGACTGGGTACCAGTGCCAGGTACGTCAAAGCATGTTATTTTTGAACCAACATGTTGTGTGCATCTCGGCTTGAAGGCATTTCTGGTCTAACAATGATTATATTGCTTAAAAGTTAAGGTTACTGGGTTTTTTTTCAGTTGATGATCATGATGAAGACTGTGATCAATATATTGCCGTTGGATGTCACAGTGATCCAGACAAGGTATTTTGTATTAGTGAATATGGTAGTACCTCACATTATTCCTTGTGAATTTCATAAGAAAATAACTCCTATATTACTATTCTTCAACAGAACACTTTAGCTCATTAACTTTAGGTTCGGCACATGAAAAATTCGTCGTCTCAAACTGATCCTACTAATAATTTGTTTAACTGTTCTTACTCTTGTTTAAAATGCCTCCTTAAGATTTATAAGGTTTATTGATAATTATATAAAAACTTTTCTTCTAGACCCACTTGCTCTCCGAGTGCTACAGAGAAAAAGGTGTTTTGCAAATTTGGCGAGTTCCCCATCTTCAGAATAAAACACGGTAAATATTTATCATTTGTGGCTGGATTTTTTCCATGATAGAAGATATAGATAGTGTTTCCGAATGTTATTCTACTTTAAAGGCACTGTTACACTATTCAGTTTTCCATGCAACTTGCAATGCAATTCTACTTACGATTCGAGCAAATTTTTACCAATAGACACTCCTCAACATAAGAATTGCATTGCAAGTTACAACTTAAGAAAATTGCATAGTTTAACAGCGCCCTAAAAAAGTTCGCGAACATCGAACGTATATTCATGTTTGTAACATAATTATATTGTATCTATGGCGATTTTTTTGTTTTTGCAATAATCACATTTCACACGAATCAGTCCTATAGGACATATACAGCATCATTATTCTCAGGGCCTGCAATCTATTACACTATATATAGTACAATCCCTCAAGTGATGCTACATACATTTTTGTTTATAGACCAACAGAGAAGGCCGAGTTTAGTTTTGGCATTGTGTACGATTATGGACCCTTGTGGGATATTCGGTGGTGTCCCTCGCGGGCCTGGGACAAGTCGTCTCCACAAGTAAGTTTTTATACTAGTCGTGTCCATTTATAACAAGTTGTGCTGACTTTTCGGGTTGAACGTTCCGCGTGGAAGAATGTGTCTTTTATATGAACCTTTCACAGATTGGTTTCACAACTTCACATCATGTGAAACAACAGCAAGTAGCCAGCCTAACAATCAGCCCTGCGATGCTAATATTTCGGTGTTGATTGGCTGTGAAAACAAATGAAATTTATATCTCATTAACAAAAAATAAATTATGTAACTTAAAAAAATGATATGATTTTATGTACTTTTTGAGGTTATTGAACATCAATAAAGGAGGAACAAGGAGGAATTTTGTTTTAAACTAATCATATTTGTTTACATTTTTTAGGCAAAGCCAATCAGAATGCCTAAATTTTCAATACTTCATGTAAAATTGTATATATTGTACTTTTTATCAAAATGTATGCATTCTGATTGGCTTACTGAAAATGTAAACAAACCTGCTGATTGGTCTAAAACGAAATACCCCCTTGCTTATAAGGGGTTGAATACATAATATGAAGTGCAATTAGTAACAAGTGGTAGTAGTTACAGTCGAGAATAAACAAATATAATTCTAAATTGAATCTTGTTTGGTTCTAATCGCACCCTGGAAAGATTAGCCTTAGGATTATCTACTGGTGAATTCTGGACTTGAAATCATTACCTTACTAATAATCTTTTGTACGATTAAATATTTCAAATACATTATGATTTTTGGCACTTCACTCTATGTAGGTAAATTCTAGAGGTTTAAAGGGTCTCAATTTCGAGTGAAATTATGCACACTTCGAATTCAAGCCAGGAACAGTTGATTAAAAAACGAGTCAACTATCAGTCCTCCGGCAGGAATCGAACCTACGCTTTTGCGATGCCGGTGCAATACAAGACGCTAAGAAATTAAGACCCTTTAAACCTCTAGAATTTCAAATACATATCTCGTAATGAGATGAAATTGAATCATAATCGGATCTCGCGAAACAAATGATTCGATGTAGCTGGTCATCGCAGTAGGTAATATAAGTTGTATTGAACGAAATACAGAGATTAGTTGTTGAAATAATCGTCCTAAATCATTCATCTAGACCGGTGAACTTCGTCGTCTAGGGCTGCTTGCTTTGGCGTGTGCTGATGGAAAAGTTCGAATTTTTAGGTGAGGAGAAATTTTTGGTACATGGAACAACATGCCGGGTTCCTTAAGAACAGCTACCATCTTTGAAACGGTTCAATTTGAATTCTTTATACCATACGAAACCCACTTAACCCACTACTGTACCATACGAAACCCACTTAACCCACTGATGTACCATACGAAACCCACTTAACTCATTACTGTACCATACGAAACCCACTTAATTACCCTGAGTCAACTTGGTCATTTTTTATTTCTAGTGTGCCATTTCCTGGCTCACTTCTGGAAAATGATGCTGGCACTGATTCTGAGAGCTCTCCTGAAAACTGTAAGTTTGTTCATGCATTTATTGCTGATAATTATTAAGTAAATTAGCTTGAGGTACACCACGTAAGTTTAATACTGCAAAGCTTTCGGTCCGTTAACCCATTTGATCAATTGACCTGATGAAGGCCCGGGTTAACGGACCGAAAGCTTTGCAGTATTAAATACTTACGTGGTGTACCTCAAGCTAATTTTCTTATTGATGTCACCATTCAAACATACAAGAATATTGATTTTTTTATTGCTAATCCATTGCGGAATGTTAGATCAGGTCAGTTTCGTTAGAGTTCACGATGACTTTGTTTCCTTTCCTAGCGCTCTATCGTGTCGTACCTCACCTGGTGCTCTCCCCAGGCTCTTTGTGCCGTAAGTACCGAGATGAATGCGGCGCCGCGTGGAAATTGTCATGGCAACCTATATATGGTCACAAGAAAATCATTGCATCATATACTGATGGTAAGACTGTTTTGCAAGCTAGAAAAAAAATTGGTTCGTTCCATGTAGCTTGTTCGTGCGATGTGCTTAATGCTATTTCTTCTTATCGTAGGTACTGTTGCAGTCTGGGATCTGGAGACAAAAAATCCCGTTTTAAAATCGACATCCGAAGACGGCCTCACCGAACGTGAGTTGCCCACGCATTTCTTGGTCTTATTTTTGGCGAAAAACTCAATATTTAGTGCCACTCACGTTCAATATCTCATTATTTAGGCGTCTTTCCAATTTCCCACTTCCAAGCTCATGATTCAGTCATTCGTTCTTTGGCCTGGTGTCCCAGTGAACCAAACTATATCGCAACAGGTACTGTAAAACATTATTTTGTAAAACAAGTATTGTAAAAACACGACATGAATATTCAAAGTAGCTATACATTTTTCATACTTCACAGGTGGCTATGATAGACTCATAAAAATTTGGGATCTTCGCCATCACTCACAACCTGTCCTCTGCTTTGCAAAAGGTTGGTCACAGGGAAGAAAGTGTTTTAAAAACGGGAAAACCCATATAAATAATGAATTTACGAAGTTTATTTATTAAGTTTAATTAATTTACTTTTACCCGTTGTTGTCTTATAGCGTTAAGTTATCATCTTACCTGGCCAATGCACCTGGGGATATTGCTGTACAATACCGATTCGATGAATCGCGTGAAAGGCACTCGTTGCTTGGATTACTACGCGAGCTCACGGAGTGAAAAGTATTCTGGGCATGTCACATTCAGTTATGTTTCCCAGAATGCATCCGCATGGGTGAGAACGAAATCTCGAAAATAATCAAAATCTCGCACTCTAAATTTCGTACATTTCTTACCCAGTGGCGCAGCCAGCCTGACGATTTGTCCCGCTATGTAAATTTCGAGTTATTATAATTATTCATTTCTTTAGAAATTTATGGTTTTCACAGTCAATGCACAGCAAAATATTAGCAAAGCGGGATAAATCGTCAGGCTGGCTACGCTACTGTTCTTATATCAAAAGAGTTGGCCAATGTTTTTAAATACTCTTTAGAGGTTAATTCAAATTTTTGTGTCTTCAGCATTGAAAAGTGCAATGTGGCCCAAGTTGTAGTTTTGCATTTTGTTATCTGGTCATGACTGAGCAGTTTATTTCATGACATTCAACCGCTGTAATTTGTGTGTGCCCGTTTCATTATTGGTGGCTGTTTACGTGAGCCCGGTTACCCGAGATTCCACGAAGCGTGAGAGGACTTTGAGGTATTGAAATAAGTTTTTATGACACCAAACAAGCACGTGCTATTGTTGTGGTGATTATACGACTGCCAAGATCATGCATGTTATCTGCTCATTTCAATACCACAAAATCCTCTCACACTTCGTTGAATCTCGGGTAACCGGGCTCATGTAAACAGCCCCTTAGTGATATAACAATAATGAAATACGAATTGCTTCAATCTGTAGGACAACGACTATTCTAATTGGATAAACGTTGTGGCGGGCGTTGATGCTGCAGGAGCCATTTCAATTAATCATTTAACACCAGCACTTGCTCAAAAAAACCGAAAAAATGTTAAAGTGGTAAGCACTTTTGGTAATAAAAATTACCCGATCTTGTCACACTGCCTGCAGCACTCTGGTAAACACCTGATTTCATACAGGGTGTGTCAAAACTCTTCAAAAACCTCCAGCAATGCTGGACAAGTTGTCTAATTGTGACTATTAGAGTGCTTCTTCGCCTTGCGTAATCGTGTGGAAGTTTTCTTAACGGGGAAATTCTTAAGGGCTCAAACTATGTTGGCTATTAACTTAGTGAAGAGTACATTAACCCCCCCAAAAAATCATTCCTTTTAGGTACATATTAAGAAGCTTCTAGTCGGTTTCTATGAAATTCGGTTTCCATGAAATTCCTCTCCATCGGAAAGAGAAGAATTTACTCATGGGTTTCTTTGCACATTCTGCACTTAACCCAAAAATTCACCGAAAATATTCAAAAAAGTCACGTCTCATAACGTAAGCCCTCTTTTTATCTCTTTCCATGCAGCCACTGTTCCGTGCCCTGTTTGAACCAACTACCGAACACCAAGATCCAACTATTTCTGCAGAAGATCTCCAGAATAAAGCGAAAGAAACTAATGAAGAATATCCTTTCAAGATCGTGTTCAAGGATATCCACCCAGTAAGGACCTCTGTCATGGTATAGGGGGTATACAGTAGACCTACTTAAATGTCAGAACATATAGTTTCTCTCCCAACCAGTGAACTCTGTTTCAACTGGATCGATAACTGGGACGCCATCCTTAAAACCAATATGAAGCCAAATTAATTATAGAAAGTTGGTTTGGAGAGATTTTTCCAGTATTATCTCATCGGCCAATTTTGTTTCTTTTAGTTTGCTGTTAATCGCGGGGGGAAATACCCTTTGTTCGATGATGAAGCTTTTGTCATGCCTAATCAACCAACACATACTGCACTACACAAGGTAGGATTCATTAATCAACGATAGAAAGTATACTACCACTAATCAATACACTGGTGGTTAAAACGTACAGGTTGTTTCCGTTTGATGAAAAGGGACAGAATTGTGCTGTACCCCACGAACATTGTTTATATTTTTGTTCAGTGGTGAATTATCTGGGTGGGGTAAAGGCTTCAAATTGCTACAAATTATAAGCATAATGGTGTTTAATGGTGACTCTCTGGCAATCTAGCATTTTATCATCTTTAATTTTTTGAACAAACACTCATCAATCCCTCGCCCAGCAAATGAACTAACCCCCCGGGGACCTCCCCTCCCCACCCCCTACGAAACAGATTTAGACTTGATAACAATCATGCTCGTGGTGTGCAGCTGAACAACATTGTTCAGTCTTGCTTTCATTAACCGAAACAACAATTTTATGCGTGTACTAAAGAACACCCTAGTACAGGTATCTCGTACCTCGAGGCATAGCTCAGGTATTGTTCAAAATGTGTATGTTTGACTCTTTTATTCTTGTTAGTAGCACTTGAACCGGAGAAGATTGAAAGAAATTCCTTTATGCCTCAACTAATGTGTTCGATGATGACACAGTAATCTTCACGTATTCTTTATTTTTGAATTTCCTATTTCTCTTGCAGGTTCGATGGAATCCAAATTTCAGCAGCTATTATTGGTTAGCGACAGGCGGCCAGTCAGGTCTGGTGAGATTGTGTTATATCAACTAGATCATCCTATCACAAAGATTTTCAACATTTTGTTGTGAAGATTGTCAGGTATTGGGTATACACGCGTACACAACAAACGTTGCTCCATTTTTTCATATGTACTGTATATGGTGGGAGGTAGTATACAAACCAATTCAGGGGCATGGAAACCATGTGGAAATTTAATATTTTGACAGCGGTCACCTGTTTGTTGTCTTCTACGAAGAGAATAGGGAGGTTAAGATCTACTTCCACTACCAGTACCGATACGAAAATACATGACGTATTACAGTTTGGCAGCGCGGAAATTTTAAAGCGTTAAGATTGTGACTTCCGTAAGAAGTAAATAAACATTATTTTAGAAGTAATTACAATCCTTAAGTCTCACCAAACAAAGCAGAAACATTATAAAACTAAAACCTAAATAATATTATTAGAAAACTACTGCAGAAAATGACAATAATACAGTATATATAATTCGGTACTTCGCCTACCTATCCACTTCCATTTTCAGCCCCAAAACGGTACTCGCGACTTCCAGTGTTGTCACATTTTGGACGATTGTTACATCTGCGCATGCGCGTGACTGATTATTGGTATCGGTACTCGTAGCGGAAGCCGATCTTAACCTCCCTAATAACATGGCAACTGCTAATCCTTAATGGATTACTGCTTAGATATTGTCTTGTATAAAGACAAATGCCAAATCACAAACTGCTTGTCATTTTCTGCTCTTCTTCTGAATAGAATATTTATGTTTCACCAACGAGGTGAAACCGAGTTGACTACATTTGACGAGAGAGAATGGTGTAATTGCTATAAATATAGCCTGAGCTATGTAATATTAAACTTTTATTAATTCTCATCACAAATTCTCACTGTATTACTGGCTGGTTTCACTACTTATTTATAAGAGCAGATATACCATGAGTAGCTCAGCCAGTCGGATTACAGCAGTAGCAGCTCATATCCAATGAACAGCTATATTATAAAAGCTGATATCATGTCAGTGGCAAGCCAACAGCATTTCAAAATATCCTTACAAGACTTGTCTAATATAACTGTAAAATAAAATATGTACAATTTTCGGGAGCCGAGGGCCCTTATTCCTATAGAAGAACCCTATTGAAAAAATATGATAAATCAAATTTCCCAGTTGCAGTTCAAAATTCTTTAGAAATAGTAGAAAAATGAAAAACATATTGGGGATAAGCAAGGATTTTTTGTCTATTACACTTGCATAGCTGGTCCATTTTTCTTTGCATTTAATTCTACTCCAGAACCTGCAAAACCAGTTCCACCTCTTTGAATTGCAATGATATCACTTTCTTTTAGTTTTTCACCAGTGAAAGGGCACAACATGTCCTTTTTAATTAAATTCTCAACACAGTCCATCGTCACAACATTTCCTGTATTTTTCAGTACTGCACAAGGTACAGCATTTCCCAAAGCATCATGAGTGACTGCACATTTATAGCGAACTTCTCGTGTGATGAGAGATTTGTCTTCACCACCAACCACGCTAAATTTGACTGGTACGAGATCTTTGATTCTCAGGGCTTTCCCAGACATTGGACATCTTGTTTTGGAATCAGGTTTTTGGGCCTCATCGGGTCTTGCTTCAGGTGTCAGTGATGGAACCCAAAAGCTGGGAAGATTTTTTCCTGTTGCAAAAAAAGTTACAAAAAGTGTTTGCATGTTATTCAATAATTTGTATGCTCCGCTATGTACTACTTTGTATGCTACTAGCGCAACCAGCCTCTTCCTTCCTTAGATGTCCAATAGGAGGGCATAAAGGTCTGTCCACACACACAATCCAATTTTGACAGATTCAATTCATTTCTGACATATCAAATGTAGTCTGTGATTGATAAAGCAGTACTGAATTGGCCTATCCATACACACAACAAATATAAAACATTAGCTACCCATATATACAACAAATATAACACATCCATCAGAGTTTAATCTGACAAAATTGGATTGTGTGAACAGACCTACACCGCTCAAATGCAGTCTGTCAGGAAAAAACCTAATAGGGGGTAAATGGAATGATCCAATAGGCAACACAGAAATTCCATGAGTTGTACAGTTTGATTAACTTCGCAAAACTAACGAGCTGATCAAACTTCACAGAACATCAGGCTTTCCGTATTTGTTGTCACTATGAGAAAGGTTTATTTGGTCTTGATTATAATATTCTAATCCATTTCCCAACAAACCAGATCTACTGCATGAGGTTGATATACAATTATATATTGTTCACAAATTTTCACATTTTATATCATATGATATTTACCTTTTTTGCTAGTTGAAGTCGTCCCTGATGATTCGCCGGTTGTAAACCCAGATTTAAAGGCATTGCTTGGTTTTGTTGTCAGCCTTTTTTCAAACTTTTCAAAGCTCTCAACTTTGGATCTCTCCATGGCCACCGCAAGCTCATGTTTCTCGTCGTCTTCTTTGCGTTTTTGTTTCTCGAATGCTTTCAATTTTCTTGCCATTTCTTTCTTCTGATGCAAGAGAGATTCCAGTATAGCCTCTTTGTCGTATAAATATCCATCCGGAGTTATGACCGGCTCTCGGCACGGTTGTAAAGTCAGGCAACAGCAGTCAAAATCTTTTACAGAGTCCTTGCCTAGTCTAACATTTTTACTGCCAAATCCTGATTGTTCAGTATCTTTTTTTCGCTCATGGTAAGTGTAGACAGCACCAGCCGTACAGTTTTTGCCATGCCGAGTCATTTTCAGGAATGATTAGGCTATTTCTTAAAGAAATCAACTTGTATTTTGTTGAAAGGATGACCAACTTGACAAATTCGATAAATGGTCGAAATATTGAACATTTGAAATGACTCTGTTTGGTACTTCCATTTTAGAATTTGAATTTCATTCTCGCAATTTTCCGAATAGTGATTTTTATTTCATTTTTTATTTTGGCGCATTGCATGGCGGTACCAGTGGCAAGGACGGACCTGCCATAAAATCTACTGGCCCCTTAATACAGTGCGTCAAAAAAAATTCACATAAATAATACTTTTCATCACAACAAAGATACAAATCGGGCGAAACCTCGCACTATGATCTACCACCTTGGTCTGCATGCTAATTATACCAACCACTGATTCCAACGAATTTATTATTACTCAGACTACCGTTGGTAGAGCGAGTTGAAAAATGGGCTCGTTTTGCGTCTCGAGTTTACGAAAATCACTCGTGAGCGGAACGAAGTCTTCGAACGAATCGAAATCGTCGTAGGATCGTTTCTCGCGCGGGTGTCAAGACCGCCTTGACAACAGCAGATTACGTCATATAACTTGTTGCCCAAGTTACGGCGTCTTGTTATGGTAGAGATTCGTGACCTTGCAAACGCGGGAAATGTACTTCAGGGGCCGGTTGTATCAAGCCCGTTTAGCCTAAACGGTGGATAAGTTCAAAATAGAAAGCAAGTCTGCCGTTTTATATCAACAAGCGAACTGAATGTTTTTTACCTTAATACAAAGATACTGTTTACAACTACATATTCAGTGCATAATATTCAAGTTGACTCATTCAAAAGAGATGTAAGAGTGTTATTTAATTTTGACTTATCCACCGTTTAAGCTAAACGGGCTTGATACAACCGGCCCCAGGATAACGAATTGGCCATAATAATGTTTATGATCTATTAATCGTTCAAAAATGCGCGAAAATTCTAACAAACCAATATATCAACTTGTGAATGCGCCAACAATTCCTACGATGGACATATGTCAACTTTTAATCGAATTTTTGCAAACGTTTCTATCAAACGACGTAAATGTAGCATCGAAATAATCGTCTGAACGAAGCGGTGAAGCATGGGACAAATGAAATGAGATATTTTCTCTAGCCACGCAGCTCTTTCGCGTCACACCAGCATTTTATTATTCACTTGCAATGGACAATACTGTAGAAATATGCAAAACACCGCCCTGAGACAACAAAAGTTTGTTTACTGCAAACGCGGCGCTTCTCACAGAACGAATTTAAAACAATAGTTTACTTAACTATTGTTTTAAATTCGTTCTGCGCATGAGATGTGCGGTTTTGGGATGCCTCAATATCTACAGGGTGTCCCAAAAAAAACAAAAACTATTGAAATCACCCATAACAATGCCATTGTTAGAGTTTGAATGCCTAAGCACTCTGTTGGGCCCACAAGTGTATAAATCGGGGTTGCCATAAGCATTTTTAGGCATGCATATAATTATGATGCAGTCAAATTTGCTTGTTCGCAAAAATGATATTTATTAACAATATTTACAATTTACAAATATGGATAACATTATTTAAATGTGCATCTCAAGGACCATGTCCTTCGACATGTCCCCTTTCTCTAGCAACACAAAGCATTTAGCATTTTATAAGTTGCATTAAATCCCCACGGGCTGAAATTCGTGAACACGGCATTCAAATTTTAACAATGAGTGATTTCAATAGTTTTCGGTTTTTTTGGGACACCTTGTATTGTTGTTAATGCGTTTGGCAAATGAGTGACGAGTTGCACGACGTTTGAAACAAGCCTTACTGTTAGGTGTGCATGTCGATGCATAAAGTGCATTGTCCGTTGGAATGTTCTTTGAGGTAATAAAAGGTGGTTGATATCGGGAACAAATTCAAATTTGGTCCTCTCGAAGAAGGAAGGATCCGTTCGAAGAAGTTTAGGGAAAAGTTGGGAGAATCTTACTCAGGTAACATGTTCATGGTTCGTTTAAAGAATCTGTTGGTTTGATCTTTGGCATTGCAAATGATTTTTATGTGTTGATTTGAATAGCCAGAAGACATTAGCGACTGGAGGCATACTCTTGATTGATAATTTTTACCGCTATATCTTGTATGTTTCGAATTAATGAAAATGTGAAATGCAAGTGAACTGTTAACTTGATTCTGTTTTTTCTTCCTTATTTCATTTTAGAACACAGCACGACGCAGAAAGATTGGAAAGGCAAAACACAAACGCTTGCTTCCAGTGAATAATAGGTGATTGTTATATTATAGACTTATACGTGTATTTTGCATTTCTCACCTGAAATAATACGTTTGTACATGGTGGGCGAAACTAAAATATAGTATAATCGACCTTTCGGAATTTTATCCTACATTTTTCCCAAGAAATGGTTGAAACTTTCCTGCCTGGCACCAATGTGATTTCCGTACACATAATGTACTCGTTCATCAGCGTTTCATGTTATTTTGTACAGGAAAGACAGATTTAAAGTGCCTATAATTATCTGTATTGGTTAAATATACAGGGTGTCCCAAAAAAGTCCCCTCTATTGAAATCAAGCCTCTGTTAGAATCTGATTGCCTTAATATTATGATAAACCCAATTGAAAGCAAGACGCTTTTTTGAACGCCTCAACCTAATAGCTATGCTATTTACACACTATATATACTGCGTTGATCATGCAATCAAATTCCCTTTTTGAGATTCCCCGTATATGTGTTAATGTCCCTTATGCTAGACTTGACGTATGCTGAGTAATTTCAGCCTGTCCATTGCAGTTTAAAAAAATTTTGACGTTCCGAGCATATTTTCTTCATCCAAAGTATCGTGCATGCTGTAGTGATTTTTTGCTTTCCATGTCGAGCTTTAACTAGGCTTTTATATGCCCGTGATATTTTTTATTTTATCGTGGTTTTCTTTTTTTAGTAAGAAAGAGTCGTCGAAGTTAAGAGATATCGGAGCTGCCTTGGGACAAATTGAAGTTAACGAGTTCACGGCAACCAGGTATATAATCCATCGTAATTATCGCTACTCTGGTTTTAATAAATGAAAGTAATCACCACACAAAGATTAACTTTCACGACCCAACGTTTCGACACTCCGGTCTGGTATCTTCATCAGAGGTGATCTGATGTTGAAACTCGGTTCCTTATATACTATCAAAATGATGTCATCTATCAATCAGATGTAAATATTCTTTTGGCAAATAGCTTCCGTCATCCCTATTAAGGGCACAAAGACTCGCATTAATATGCCAGGCTTCCAAACAACGCCTTTGTCCATAACGATCATTAGTGGTAATGACTTTTGAATCGTTCCACCCAATGTTATGGTTAGTTTGACACACGTGTTTCGCCAAGGCTGATTTTGAACTGTCTAAAGGCGGATTTCCACTTACAGCGAAATTGTTCGCTAGCGAAATATTTGCATATTTTCTTTTGAATTGAGAACAGTCAAGTCGCACTAATTTATTTATGCTGTTAAAATTCAAAAGAAAATATGCAAATATTTCGCTAGCGAACGATTTCGCTGTATGTGGAAATCCGCCGTAAGTTCGAAACGGCCTTTTGATGTTCTTTTAATTCTTAAACGTGTGCCGAACTGGCGTTTTGTTTGACCTAGATATTCTTTGTCGCAATCACCACATGGTATAGAGTATACAGCATGAGTTTTCTGTTTAGTCGCTATCGAAGTTTTTCCTCAGTCAAAGCTAAGAGATTTGTTACTGGACAATCCGAAGTGAAACTTGACTAAATGCAAAGAACTCATCGTTGTTTTCTAAAAAGGTAAATAGCTTTTTCATTTTTGGACATTGGAGGCGTTCTGTTGAAAGGGTAAAATCTGCTCGCGTGCTGGTTCTTTATAAACACGGTATGAAGTGGAAAGATCGTGTTAACTATTTTGTGGAAAAGGCAAGAAAAAGTTTGTAAGTGCATATACAACGGTAAATAGACTGGACCGGCTAGTATTTAAACACGCATGCAAGCTAGTATGGCATTTTAACATTCCTGATTTCTGAAACTTGCGTTGAGAATAATCGTACCGCCATTTGGTTATAGCGGCGCCGGCTTTAGAATATATGGTATGCCATCTTTAACAGAACGACTAGTTGTTATATTGAAACATTTAATAGTATTAAGAACACGGCATGGTTCTATACTGCAACGGCTATATCAAACCAAATTAAGCCATCTATATGTCCACCAAAACAGGTCATTTATTTTCCTGTGTAGGCATTTAAATTACTCGTTTCTGTGTAGGCATTTACATTTTAAAATTACAACAATTTTAGCAATTATTTCGCAATAATATAGTTCGTCAACATACATATCTATAGTGCAATATTCATTATTGTAGCCAACTGATTCACACAGCGTCAGTCCCTGTGATATATGCCGGGACCGAAGCCAAGCCAAGGGTGAGTTACATGACAGCAATTAAGTTAACTTAAACTGTCAACAACTGTATATCTGGGGCGATTACTTTGCTGTTACATCATTAGTTCAGATAGAAATCTTATATTAAGCGCACACGAGAGTCCACACCTCACAGCAATGAACTTTTTGTTATTTAATGTAATAAAATTTGGTCGCCATCTTTGAAGCCAATTTGCAATCTCGAAACCAGAGCCAGCGATCCATCGGGAGAAGGACGACCGCAAAACAAGCTTGATATATTTTTCAAAGAAAGCGTCTTCCTCATACCCGGTGATATCTCTCTGTTAACACCCGTTTGCTTGGCGATTGCAAACAGCTTGTAGTTCGTAAACAACAACGAAGGGGCGAAAATAATGCATCCATGTAAACTTAGAAGGATTCGTATTTCCAGTCAACCATGACATGACAAGGTAAACGGCCGAGAGGTGATTTGTCAGGACGACAAACAAGTCGCAAAGCAACGTGGCCATGATCATGAAATAACAGAATTGATTTTTTTACAAATCAGCCTTTCCTGCAATCCTAGCCTTTCCTGCAATCTGATCGGTTGGAGCAGCGGGTGGAATTTTACGATATCTGACCACGGTCCGGAATCCTATATTTTATTCTCGAGGGAAAGCGGTTTTTTTTCCAAAGATTTATTCGCAAACTTTTGAC